GCCGTGCGACCCCCTGCGGACCGCGCGCATGTCGCTCCGCCCGCGCCGCTCTGCGCCGGCCGGTTCCCGCCGGCAGGGCCAAGGAGTGGAGATGCGAGGATCACGCTCCCAGGTCTCCGAGGATGGGGCGGCGAGCTCTGTACATCTAGGGCGGCGATAGGGCGACGATACGGCGACGATAAGCCTCCCAGGTGGGGTCGGAGTAGATGGGGTCGGAGGATCGCGCCGTATCGCCGATGCGTCGGCGATGCGGCTCGGTTTGGAGCCCAATTCTCTCCACGCCGACGGCGCCGATGCGTCGCCGACGTCGCTGGTGCATCGCCGATGCATCGCCGATGCATCGCCCATGCGGCGTGATCCTCGCTGTCGGCCTCCAGGGGATCTTCTTGTCAGAACTCAAGGCCAGCAGAAATGGATCCGAGGCGTAAAACTTTCCGCGAGGAAGGTGTCGGCCCCTGGGGGCCCCCGGATAGAACAGGCACAGATCGTCGGATGTCAAGAAGAGGAGGAGGAGGAGGAGGAGGAGGAGGAGGAGGAGGAGGAGGGAGGAGGAAGGAGGAGCGGGTACGGAGATGCTAGAAGGGTGATGGTGAGGGGTGAGGGGAAGGGGAGGAGGCGGGAGGAGGAGGAGGAGGAGGAGGAGGAGGAGGAGGAGTAGGAGGGAAGGAGAGGGAGGATGAGGAGGAATTAGGAATGAGGAAATTAGGGAGGTCGGAATGGGATGAGGATGAGGAGAGGAGGCGGAGGAGGCGGAGGTAGGAGGAGGAGAGGAAGGAGGAGGATGGATGGCGGCGGAGGAGGAATGAGGAGGAATGAGGAGGAATGATGCTGATGATGCTGATGATGATGATGATGATGATGATGATGATGATGATGATGATGATGATGGTGGTGGTGATGATGATGATGATGATGATGATGATGATGATGATGATGATGATGATGATGATGCCTTGTACTTGTACGGAAATCCTTGAGAGCGGAGTGGGACAGCCGTGTCAGCATCCTTGCGTCTTCCGTCCCATCTTGGCTCTAGCTTCAAAGGCGCGGCTCCCGCGGCGACCCCCCATGCTCGAGTGGGTGGTGCAGCGCGGGGGAGAGTACGCCGCGCAGGGCTTGGTGAACTACATCGCGCGGTGCCCAGCGGCGCCGCCGTGCCCAGGCTGCCCGGCGCTCACGTGCCAGGCTTGCGGCGCCTGCCAGGCGCCCGCGTGCCCGGGCCTCTCGTGCCCGGCCTGCCCGACCTGCCCGGGCCTCGCGCCGGCGGCTGGGGCGGCGGCGTGCCCGGCCTGCCCGCAGGCCCCGGAGGCAGCCCCGTGCGCCGGCGGCGGCTGGGGGCTGCTCTGGTTCGTGTGCGGCGTGGCCTTCGGCCTCGCGGCGGGCGCTGCGCTGCTGAGTGCTTGGCACGCGGCTCGGTGCTGCGGCAGGCGCAGGCGGGCTGCCATCCAGGACTACTCGGAGCCAGGGTCTGCCCTCGTGAAGGATGGCGACGTGGGCGTACGTGCTGTACATCGGGGCCGGCCCCCGGCAGGTCTGGCACCAGAGGCTGGTGCTGGGCCAGGTGGCGTTATCGGCTGGTAGCCTCTTCGTGATCGCCACCCCCGACCGGCACGTGTACGCGGAGGACTACAGTGCAGGGTCAGTCGACGTCGCGGCGGTGAGGTGGGCAACGGCCTTCAACGTGCTGCCGGACGGCATCCCTCCCGGGGACGTCTACCGCTTCCGGGCGGAGCCGACGGTGGCGCAGCGGGCTGCCTTCCTCGCCGCGGCGGTGCCCGAGGCCGCGGGCGAGTGCGCCGGGCTGGCCGCGGCCCAGGGCGTGGCGGCCCCGGCGGTGGACGCCCACTGCCTGCTGCCGGTCCCGGTGGGCGGACCCGCGGCCGGAGCAGGGGCTGGCCCGGTGGTGGTCGCGGCGGACGTGCCTGCTGCTCTCGGAGCCGCGGCGCCCGCGCGGGTGCCGCCGCTTGTCGGGCCCCTGCAGGGGGTTGTGGCTGTTGGCGCGGCTGACGGACGTGGTGCTGCTCGCTGGGTCGCCGCCGAGTGCTTCGGCGGCTTCCGCGTGGGGGACGACGTGCCCCACCAGGCCGGAGCAGGTGCCATCGGGGACAAAGACATCCACCGGCTGGCAGACGGCTCGGGCCTCTTCGTGCAGTACTTGCGGCCGGGCGACGAGCAGGAGTTCTTCGACCGCATCGTGGCCAGCGACGCCCGCATCCTCCCGGTGCGCCGCAACAGGCTGGGGCGACGGGAGCGTACGTGGGCGGACATGTGTGCCGCCGTGACGAAGGAGGATTTCGGCAAGGACTGGACGCTCGGTGGCGTCCGAACGGCGGGGTGGTGCCTGGAGCATATCAACGCGGAGGGCGGCAGCTTGGATGCTCATCATGATCGGTTTCGATCGCTGTGCCGCCTGGAGCCCAACGCATGGGGTGTGGCCGAGCACCTCCACTTCACGGCGGCGGTCAAGGCCGGTCTCCTCG